TTGTCATAGGTAGGGGTTAACCACCAACAGTGTTTGCCAGAAATACAAATGCAGGAGCCCTACCCTCAGCCAGCTCCACATATACTGTTCTGACAAAACTAACAGCAATATGCTCTGTAAGATGTTCCTTTGAATGTACAAAATTCTGCAAGTAAGTTAGCTACTTACTCAAAATTACAGGCCAGGTAGTATATTGTCCAGTTGAATGTACCTGGCAAAATTAGTTGTCTTTATTACTGAGGCAAATTTATATTTGATTTATCAAGTAATAGATCAGGACTTGATTAATTTGAATTCTTACTAACCAGAGGTAGACTTTTAAGTGAATGAAGAATGCTTAATTCACTGTTTGATCTCTCTGTCACTTTTACCTTTTGGATATGAATAGTTCTGGGCTTTCTGGTGGGTTTACAACATTCCTTCTCTTCCTAAGAGTTGGAATGGGGAAGGGGGACTTTTTTCCCAGCTTACATTTTTCTGTCTTGTTCCTTGTGAATGGCTCCTGATCTTCCTGTATATAAAACCATGATTTTAGGTAAGTGCATTTCACAAAGTTCTCATGACTTATGTTAAGCTGATGGTCAGACTTTGGTGACTGCATTTCATGTAGGAGAGCTTGCAAGCATCTCAGACGCAGCTGGCTGTCTGAATGTATTCGTCATACATTGTTATCAGCCGTAGAGAAGGAAGTCTTGAGCAACCTGATCTGAATGCAGTGTTGACCTTGCTTTGAGCAGAACCTTGGATTGTATGACCTGCAGGTCTGAATTCTGGCCTAAATTATTGTATGATTTGATGAATACAAACTTGTTGATAAAATCCGCTGAAAATGCAGTGGCTTACGTATTCGTGATCCATGAAAAGTTTCCTTCTTTTCACAGGAGTGCGACTGGAGAGCTTCTCAAGCCTTTTAGGATATGACTGTCTTGAGAACTGTAATGTTTTGGAAATGGCCTGGGCTGGATGACCTACTGTGTCTTTTCCAACCATAATTTCTATCAATCTGTAATTTTGAGGTTGACTTCTTGTTGCCCAATTTTACAGTTACTTAATTCCAGTATTGGGCATATTTTAAGAGACCACATTTAGTCATGGTAAGACTGTGTGGGTTGTTTTGTCTTTTTGTGTTGTTTTTTAAATCCTTCTGCAGATTGTCAGCACTTAATGTATTCTTTCCTATTCCGGTGCCACAAATAATGTTCCTAGTCTGTGAGGAAAAAAAAGGTCTGATTACCCATTTTGGAATAGATGGTTGATTAAAAAAAGCTGCTCCCAAAATTGTTGTTCTATGTGAGGTGTTAGGCTAGTTCTGCTGTGTATTTGTGCCAGAAATGCATTTCCATCACCAGAATAAGGGGTGGAATTGAGAAATTGTGTATTTGTTCATATTTTCAGCATTGTTATCAGTTAAGTTCATAATGAATTATTTAAACATTTTTTAGAGCTAAATGTGCATGTACTTTTGAGGGCTATGAAAGACTGCTAGCTAAAATAGGCTTGAATTTTTTTCTAAAGAGTTCTTAACACATTGGTGTGACCCTGTTCCCTTTTCCTTGCAGAAAGCACCTTTTTTTTTTTTTTTTTTTTTTTTTGTGCAAGAAGAAACATCTTTTTGGAAAGACATCTCCTAGTAAGAGCTCTTGCACTAAAACTCTTTGGCTGAAGAGAACACCTCAGCCTTTGAGTTTTTGACATGTCCTATGTCAGCGTCCCTCAGGACTTAAGCCATGCTTTGTATCTTAATTTGCTGCCTGCTTACTTGTGATACATGCTAAGTTTGCCAGTTTCATTCTGATTTTTTTTTTTTTTTTTTTTTGCCTACAGCAAACAAAGCATGTAAACAAATCAGGATTTCTTTTTGGTGGACTAGAAACTTAGCTTTATTTTTGAAAACAGAGGTGTGTGTACATGTATGAATGTGTATTATACATACACAAATAGCAAACAGTCCTTCCTAGCTGGTTGAGAATCACTTGGCCTAGAATTCCTGTGGGATCTCTGAAGAAATGGAATTGGAGGATTAGCAGTTAGGTGTGAAAGCACCATTAATCCTACTGAGACTTGCTTGGGGTCTGTTTCTCTTTTATTCCATTTAAATGATGTGTAGAATAATTCAGAGATTAATCATGCTGTTACAGTCATGAAATGTCTGTGTTAAAATTTGTGGAGTAAGGTAATCTTAGGTCAAAATAGTCTTGTGATCTTTACCAGACTTATGAAAACTGTATATGAAATGTAATAACAAAGATGATGGATTCAATAACAGGTTGTTCTCCATTTTTTCTTCTGCCCTACATCCTTTTTCTCTATCAAAAGTTTCTTCTGTTTTATGTATACATAGGTTCTTAGAAATTTTCTTGTTGCCTTCCTGGAAATCTTCGCTAGTATTTAACACACGTTTTGCCTACAGAGGCTTCTGTACTTTACTGCCTTATGTCAGTGCTTTATTTGATGATAAATGAAAGTAGTTAATCACTTCTTAGAACATTATATTTTAAGGATATTTTTGTTTGCCTTTTTAGATTTTTTTGAAAAAAAGCCTCTCCATTTTAGCGTGCCTTTCCAAAATTGGTTTAATTCCTGTTGCACTCCTCTGAATTTGTTGCAGTTTGTCTTTTTAAAACACAGTTCTGAATATGGAAAGTACATTCTCCAACTGAGACATAACCAGTTCTGAGATGATGGGAATAATGTCTCTTGCTCTTTAGGGAGAAAATCTGCTGTGGTCCTTTGAAGGAATTACTGTGGTCCTTTTAAGTAACCTTGGGTAAAGCCTGTAGGACCTGCTGATGTGATACATAGTGTATAGAAAAAATACCTATTTGCCTTTCTAAAACCTCTCTTTCTCCAACTGACTGCTCTGATTGCTACTTGAATGTTGCGTTTAGCAGTACCTATATAAATCACCAGTCTGTTTTGGATGGCGTTTAATAGTAGGTAGCGTGAATACATAGACATTCTCAGTTGTTTGCGCGTTGCTGTGTGCTTCAGCAGTGGTGTTTTATCTATGCGACTTCCATTGGTGTCATTTGTGCGTGCATGTGTTATTTTTTTGAGTTATATATTGAAGCTCTGAATGTCATGGAATGCATGAATGTTTGACCGGTTAAGGTTAACATTGATGGGAAAAATACTCAACTACCTTCTTTCTCTCTTAAAAAATAAAACATCACAAAACCAACAAACCCCCTTGAATCCTTAAAATGATATTTAGTTCTTATACCACATGTGAATATTGGACAATGCTCTAATTTAACCAAATCTGTCTGCTTACACTGTGATAGTGGTGATTTAAACTAAGTTCATCAATAAGAACTTGGAAATAAATTTATTAAACTTTGGAAGATGTGTGTTTGAATTGAAGTCTTTCTTGGTATGATTTTCAGCAGTGGATATAAACTGACAGTGTCCCCTTCTGACATTGTACTACTTTAATTTGGAGATTTCCTCCAAACCCTTTGAATTCTTCTGTTTCTGAGCATGTGTTTTCACAGTAATAGAAGTTTCACCAGCCTATAGTCTATTTGAACTGAAGTCAATTAACTTTACTAACATTTTGACATTCTGTAAAGACCCTAAAGGGTTTTTGGATCATCTTTCATTCACATATCAGAATGATATATTTTTTTTAAAATACATATAGTACCCTTCTTTGAACAGCCATGTATATCTGGAGTTACTTTCATTAACTGAGTAACTTATCCTGCATTTTTGTAAAAGGAACTGCAATTTAACTATAAATATATCAAAATGCCACAGAATTCAGGGCTACAACTCAAAAATGCTGATCAGTTTGTAAAATCTAAATCAGCCCCTGCATGAAACCTAGGGAAGGACCTCTGTGGTAGCAGAAAAATTTCCAGAAATTCACCACAGTCTTTTTCTAAGTTGCAGTTTGTGCTGATGTTGCCAGACAGCTAAGAAGAGATGGGAAAAGCAGGAAATTTTTTTGGATTTAATCACTGTGCTGATTTGGAAAAGCAACTTAACAATGGAAAATATTTTTATATTTTAAATCATAAACACAAAACTACGAAGTACATGGTAGATCGTGGTTGCATTAATTTGGATCGTCTTCATTACTAATGAAGAAAGTTCTTCATTTTGGAATCTAATGATCAGAAATCCTACTTCCTGGACTTTTTTTTTTTTTTTTTTTTTTAATATCCAGACTAGGTTATCTGTTGTTTTCAGTACCATTTGATGAGGTACTGGGCACTTGACTGCTATACTTGAAAGCAATAGATGTAGCTTTTAAAATGCCATCTTTCTGTTTTCATATTTTGAAAAGCTTTTTCTACATTCTTGCCTTCAAAAGATCTTGGAGAATATTGATGGTCAGTGCTTATCTTTTCCCTTGAAGATATTCAAATTCCATTGTAAAATACCCAATTTTTTCATCTCTCTTCATCAGTAAAAAAGTGCTTCTTAAAAGAAATCTTACAGTTTTAGCCCTTGCATCCTCTATGTGAAAAAGTTCTTATTTAGGTCCCTTGATCTTTTGTAGAACTTGTAAATCAGAAAGACTTCAGGTAACCTGTGGAGATGAGTACTTGAGTGAAGGACTGAATATTCATTTCTAAATGAGAAGGTGATGAGGTTATGAAGAGCACATAGATGAGCTAAGCAGCAGTTGTATCCAAGTGAAGGTCTCTACTCAACTGTCATGTAACTGAAGTACAAATACATGAGTCATTTTGTCTTTTGACTCCCAGTTGATCATAAAATCAGCACATTTCTCTTATGAGGCTGGCCAATGAAATATACCCAGTTTCGTGCAGTGTAGAGCATTGTATAAGTTCATACTGCTGGGCTTTTAGGATTTGACCACAGTGACTTGTTCTACCCAAGTCTGTCTTTTAAAAGTAACACCACACCTTTGGTTTTACAAAGTATTTATTGCTATTTTATGAGTAAAAGGGATATAACAAATTAGTGGTTTTGTTTTTGGTTTTCTTTTTAAATCAAGATTTCTGCTGTATTCTAGTACCAGTTGAAAGATGGATGACGATGACTTTGGAGGATTTGAGGTATGTTATTTGGATGATTTAATTTTGACATTTAACTATTTTCAACTATTTTTATAGGAATTTCTAACATTTTGTAAAATATGTAACGATATTTTTTTTCATGTTTCTAGGCAGCAGAGAGTTATGAGTGTGGAAATGGTGAAAAGCAGACTACATCCCCTCCTATTGCTTGGGCAGCATTTCCTACAGGTATTGATAAAATCACGATAAAAATTCTTGATAATGCATTGCTGTCCTTCTGTATTCACTGTAAATATTAGTACCCAGAAGGGTGTATATACATAATAAAAGAATGGGCAGCAGTGAAAACCTAGCATAAGAATGTTCCTGAGGAATTATTTTGGGAAGCTGCACTTCTCAAAGTTAAACTTTTTTCAGGAATGAAAGAGAAGTACAGCTTATCCAGTTCAAAGGCTGATTGCCATCTTATGGGAAGAAGAAATGGAGCTTCTTCACTCAAAGGATATTCTTACTTTTGAGTACGGAAGGTCTCTTGCAGATGGTGGGAAAATATACAAAAAGTAAAGAAAACCCCTTGTATTCAGAATATTGTATTACTGTAAAATCTTTATGTGACTTTTTCATGCAAATGTTGCTGTGAATAAATTAACTTATTGCAAGAGTTTTTAATAGGATCAATAAAAATGCTTGTTAGGCATTGACTGGTAAGTAAGAGAAACTGAATTTTCTGCCCAATGTTATTATATAAAGTTGTTCTTGTCTTACCCTAGAAATTTGCCAGTCAGTAAGGTTTGCTGAAAAATGTCAGAAATTCAGATGTATTATGGTGCTATTGAGATGATTTTGATAAATTTGGAGTGTGGTACCATTATATACATGCAAGATTCGGTGAACTTTATGGAGGAGGAGTACGTTACTCATCAATTTCCTGCATATCTGATGTTTGCAAGATATAAAAACTTATAAAACAAAGCACTGAAATCTGTTGCAGTATTTCTCACTGTGCAAGAAGAAATCAGAAATTATTTCTAAGGCCCCAGTGTTGATTACAGTGAGTAATTTTGCCCTTGAAATTTGTCTTGGGCTTCTTACTATCTTTTTGTATGTTAATTTCACTTTTTTAATAGACTTATAGTATGATAAAATGTTTATTGGGATGAGCAGATAGTCTTTTCTATGCAGTACTTCAAATCAGAAAATGTTTATTAATTGTAGTTGCTGGTTCAGAAAGGGAGAAAAATAAGAATTTGTGCAGCAGAAATATTATACCATTTTTTTCCCCTTCCACCAGGACAATTATCAGAGAGCATGTACCTCTTTCTGTTAGGCTTCTCTAGCAGTGTCACCTAATAGGAAAATACTGGTTTTATTCTAAATGGTAAAAGTGAGAATACATTTATTTATTTTTTTATCTCTCATGGTTGCAAATTTGAATTAGAACCCATCATACCGTGTGCTGTATAAACATGGAAATAGAAAGTAAGGCTGGTCTGAAGACCTTAGCTCTGTGAGAAAGTATGCATTAACATGCATTGGTGCAGTCCTGTTACTTAGGTGTTTTTGCTACTACTCTTAGCAAAATCTGAAGAACTGCCTGTTGTATTGGGTCTATTCCTTCTGATTGTTTAACTGAGGTAGAAGCAAGTATTCCTTCTTACTTAGTGTCATTATGTATGTGATAGATTTCCTTTTTTCTTTCCAGCCTTAATATGGGGATGTACTAAAAAGAGTCACTACTGTATGCTCAATGTCTGGGCTTTGGAGAAATGTGAGGGAACTACTCAATCATCAGTGTTTTCTTAGCTTGGATTAGTAAATGTATTTGTAAAGTTGAAAAAGAAGAAAATTATTTAAAAACAACAACAAAACACTTTGGGAATAAAAAGTTTTTCTTTGGAAAGATGAAATCTCTCTAAGAACAGTAATGGAGTACTAAGTCTTATGTTTAGGCCTTAGACTTAAATACAGTTCAGAACTGAAAACAAAAAATTAAGTTTTTAAGAACTCTGAAATAAATTATGGAATATTCTAGTGCCTTATCACTAGTCCATCTGGTTCTCAGAAGAGATTCAAAGAGGCTGACTGTATTAATTATTATGGCTGGCCAGAAAAATCATGATATTTCCTTGGTTTGTTATTGTAAGACACTTTTCAGGGGGTTTTGCTCTTTGGATTCATAAACTAACATTTTTGAGGAAAAAAAATGTAACAGTTATGCTGTTCTCAAATAATTTCATTTATTGAACATTAATATTAATATTTAAACTGAGCTATTTTTTAATACGGTGGCCAAATCTAACTGAATGTGATGTTATTGACTTCAGAGATGTTAGTGGGAGTAGCTTGATACACTTTTTTTATTTAAGAAAGTAGCTCTCAAGTATTTTAGACTCTAGAATGGTCCTTGCACCTGATAAGGAAGATACTTCAATGAAAGAAATAATTATTTGTAAGTCAGTTTTGCTTTGTTTCTGCTTTAGCTGCTTAGTAGTAGAAACACATTGTTATGCAACTTAATAAAAATAAGATTTTAAGAGCGATGTGACTTTGCAATTCAGTAAGTGTGTACTGGAATATTGAAGTGCCTACTTTTTTATTTATTTATTGTAGGTTTTTTTTTTCTTCCTGAAGAAGAGATGTACAAACTGTCCATTTTCTTGCTCTTCTGTAGGTGCCAGGTTCTGTACCTTTATGCCTGTAAGGGGGATCTTGAAATTTAGCACTCTGCGTGTCAACAGATTCTGGTGTTATCTCTGCTTTTGTAAGGTTATGAATAACATGTCTGTTGCTTATAGTGAATGGCAGGAACAGGATCTGGGGCTCTACATGTTGTGTCAGTGTTTCATTTTGGCAGAAATTATTCTCTGGACATCAGAAGCATCTTGTGTAATGGAGCAGATGGAAAAACCAACAGATGTTTACCAAAAAAGGACTGTTTTGGCTGAGATGGAGCCTCGTGAATCTATCTGTTGTGGATTATTCGAAGTAAAACAAAAGTTGCTTAAAAAAAAAAAAGACAAAACAAAACAGGGTGAGAGATGCTTTTTCAGTGAAATTAAGACAGAATTCCTACCTGGGAATGGGTTGGAAGTGCAGTCTGAGCAGACGTTTCTGATTCAAGCTGTGCAGATTCAGAATGATTTTGTTTACAAGTGTTAGGTAAGACCAGATTCATGGCAGTGTTAACTGTGGATGAGGTGGAGATTTTTTTTTTTAGCTTCGTTTCATGAGGAAATGAGGCTTATGCTATTGCTTTCAGTCCCTGTTCTCCCATTGTAGATTTTGAATATGTTTCTTAGTTTTAGTGAAATCGTTTATAGTCTCAGTTAATTACACTTGTCCTTTTTTAATCAGGACTGAGTAATGATAGAGCTTTACCTGGTGCTTCACCAAAGAAAAGGAAGATTGGATCCAGTCACTGTAGATTCTATAGAAGCTGTCTGGTGTTGAAACTCATTTGGAAATTTAGAAGAGCTATAGCCTATAGCTACCATCTAGGACCATGGGAGATAACAGAACTAAAAGAACTAGGGGACAACAACACAACTGTATGGAAGCCAGCACTAACGTATAAACATCTTAATTTCACTCTGTTACATGACCTAGGTGACCTCCATTTGTTTAAGGAAAATGTAATCCATTCAGTTCCATGAGCAGGAGAGCTGTTCAGATGCCCAAATGCTGAATTCAGCTTTTAGGGTGAGCTTGAGTAGCTTCTTTGTGTCCATCAGTTGTATTGACTAAGTCTCTGCTGACTGCAATGCTCACGTAGCTGTGTAAATTTACATGTCTTCATGTGGAGCCGTATCGCATTCCCAAGTTTCATTGGTTTGGCGGCTTACAGGGTAACACTTCTCTCCTTTGGCCACATACATTAGAAAAATTGTTAGTTTTTATATGTGGCCTCCAGTCTGTATTGATCCAAGATTATTTTACTTATTAATTTTTCACTGAAGCATTATTTCTGTACTTCCTGGAGCAAAGGTGTGTCAGAGGAGCTCTATTTATTTGTTTATTTGTTAAGTTCTTTTGGGAATCTTTTCTAAGCTTTGTGTCATGTCAATATGTTTACTTTCTGTAAGGAGATCTGGAGGTAGCATATATAATTTTGAAGCTATTGATTTACCGTTTGGATTAATTTGGCTAAGTTTTACGTTTGGTCTGATAGTGAGAATTCTCAATGCCCGCTTGAATAACAGAACATCCTCAAAATTACTGGAGAAGATTTTTCTCCTTGTTCTAGTATTCTTTCATTAACAATGCAGATGGACTGTATGTAGGCAAAGCCTATTTTTCATATTTCAACTAAGAATTCAGTATTTCTGATGGTCCTGTTTGCAATGTTGAAAGAACAGATGTTTTGAAGTCTATACAATATGAGATGGGGTGATCTGTACTGGTGTGCAGACGTAAGCAGACATCTGCATGTCTTGAAGGTGCTTTTTTCAGCTGTTGTGTTGAAATAAGTGTTTTCAGTTGTTTGTTTTCATAATAAATTTTGGTTTTCTGCAGAATACTAACATCTTGACTGGGGAGGGGTGGTGGAGGGGTGGGAAATAGTAGCAGAAATTGTATTTATAGAAATACATATATTTCTAATATATAGAAACTATATATAACCCTAGGGAGATTGGAGGGAACTGGTTTCATTCCTTGTCATGGTTGGACAGGGTTCAGAGGTCTTTGTTGATAATGGTATACAGCCTCATTTAACTCTAGAATGGTCTTGTTTTTCATTTGCTAGCATTTCCATTATCTGGGGTATGCTGCTTTGAAAATGAGTCATGTAACTTTTCAGATTTGACTATCTAGAATTTACATATGGTTAAAAGATTGTCTTGTTGCATGTTTATTAGATTACATACCACCTCCTCTCTCTCTTTCAGTTACCAAACTGCTTTAAAAGACAGTCATATTGACTGAATATTTTGGCAGTTTTCTGGAAACCAATTTCTTTAAAAACAAACAAATAAACAAAAAAAAAAAAAACAAAAAACCAAAAAAACCAGAAACAACTGATGGGAATGAGTTCTCAGTTTTCTTATGTTGTGTAGTCATTGAATACTGAAAGATTTGTTTCTGAGGTTCAACTAAATGGTTGCTGTGTTGTAAACTTTTGATAGCTGTATATAAGTTTTACTTAAATGAGAAGTTAGGAAATAAAATTAGTATTTCCATATGGCCTTAGATTTACGATGTTGGAATAGTATATGTAATTACTTATTTTTTAGAATAGTTTGGCTTTGGAAGAATACAATGCAGGGAAGAGCTTTCTGCTGTGAACTATGAGAAATCATCTTGAAAGCACATTAGAGTGGTTTTTCTTCCTCTCTACATGTTCATGTACCGCTGTAAACTGGTATGTGTAGAGAAGCAGCCAAGTGTTTCCTATTGGTAGGAGGACATTCATGCTCATTGAAGTCAACAGAGAAATTGCTGTCAGCTTCAGCACTATGTAGACTTTACCTGTTGATCCTAATTCTAGTTACACTTTTGGAATTAACACTGACATAGTTTTTGCTTATTTTTGAAGTCTGTATTCCCCAACAGATGTGGAAATGCACCTCATTCTGGTGAATTGGTGATCTGTAAATACAGTGATTAAGTGTTGTTTTTGGAAGGGGAAAATTGCTAAGGGAACTACTAAAACTCCTACAGCTTTGCAGAATGCTCTGCATGCCATCTGAGACTCATACAACACTTATTATGGGCATATTGGGTGTCAATTGATACCTATTAATGTATCCTGCTCATTCTTTAAGAAATTTAACCCTTTCTAATAGTTTTCCATTTACATTGAGCTTAAAGCAGTGTAAGTACAGGAAATACTTTGTCTATTTTGAATTAAATTTATTAGTTGTTGCTTTTTGTTTCACGGGAAAATAAGATTGTTTTTTGGTTTTTTTTGAGCAGATCCTTTTGTTCTTTCGTAAATTAGGTTGTTTCCCACTGACAATGATAGGTTAATTTTATTGGGTGTTTGTTACATATGTATTTTGGAATGTGTTTGACATATTCTGTTGTGTGCTAGTTTGTTATGTATTGGCAAAAGTAAATTGGTTGATGTCTGTGAATACAGTAATTTTCAGTTTATTTTTCCCTAAGCTGCTTATTCAGCATTATGTAGGCTGTAGGTCCCTGTGTTCTAGCTTTGACATTACAGTTGACAGAAATTCCTGCCTTGTAGAATAGTTTCCTGTCTCTTACAGTTCTGCTTGAGCAACCATATGTGAGGCTGGGTTTTAAGCAGATCACTGAAATTTGGACACACAAAAATGGTCTTGAACTTTCTAGCTGAATGTTACTTTTAACTGAAAATGTTCAGTGATACGGTTTACAGTGTATACAGTATAATTTAAAGGGTCATTGAATTGCATCATCAAAGATGTGGGTAGTTGAGGATGGAAATTTGGTTTTTGTTTCTTGGGTTTTCTATTTTTAACAGCTGAAACCTACATGTAGGGCAGCTGTGCTGCAAGTAGTTTGCAATGTTTTACGAAAGTATGTCAAAGAATTATTACACGGTCTTTTGCTCAGATCCCTGCTGACATGTCATCTCTTAATTGCTGGATATAAATAACATCCAATTAGTAAATGTTACTTATGTTTATTTTTTCAGTGATATATGTCATATCTAATGTCTTCATTCTGAAGCTCAAAAGTATACGACTCATATGAAATGTTGATTTAACAGTTCATGTTCATCCGTTTGGTTTTGTTTTCAGAATTTCTGATCCCCTAGTGATTTTAATAATTGTTTGAGCTTCATAAAGATACAGAATTTTTCTTGCAAGATTGCAGGCCGTTACTGATCTCTGCTTCTATTAATAAACTGCATGGTTTTGTCAATTCTTACATACAAACCTATGATAGAATATTCTTAATATTGGGAAGTCAAGCGTTCAGAAATTATCAGTTTGGTGGTTTTTTTTGTTTGTTTGTTTGGTTTTTTTTAAGTACCGTTCGGGCAATAACTTATATCTTATTTCAGCCTTCTTGGGCATATGACTTTTGACGTACCTGTAATTGAGTACATACTGCTTTTCTAGTCCAGTTATGTAATTTTAGCAGAGGCAAATTTTGTTTCAGGGGTTCTGAAACTGTTCCATTATGATAATTAAGGCATGGTAAGCAGGGATGATTGAGGGGTTGTCTTCATAAGCGAATTTTGAGCTGAACTAAAATGCTAATGCAATTTCACCAGTATATACATAAGAAGAATGAATTAAGAGAGCTTGAATTATAGATATAGCACATGTAATTCTAGGAATGTCTAATTTATGAATCTTTAACATTGCTGAAAGTGAAAAGAAGGTTTTGTAAAAAAGATGTTTGAATGATACCTTGGAGAGTTGCCACCTTTTCTTGTCTTCTGCAAGGTCGTGTATTAAGTTGAATAATTTTAAACCACAGTGTTCAGAGGTGGTCACCAGTTGTTGCTCCTCATTTCCTAGGCTTTATTTTGACAACTTAAGAAGTGGGTTTTTTGTTTCTGTTTTTTCTTGCCCATCAAAATGTTAAGCATTCATTGCTATAACTGAAATAACTGAAAGCTCAATTTGATTGTAGAAGGTTCCCACATAAAACTGTATTATCTGAAAAACGAAGTCTTATGTCTAGTATTGGATACCCTAAAATATGTGAATACCTTAAGCTTTAATCTCTGTGAGTCTCCATTCCTCATCACTATTCAGACTGAGTTATTTTTTTTACTTTTCTGATCAATTATTTATGTGGGAACTATGCCTATACCATGGTGATCATCACCAAAGGATGAATGCTAACACCACAAAGATCAGTGTCATGCTAGGTTTTTCCTTGTGAGTTCACAATTTTAGTCAGAGAAACAGCTTGTCTGCTCGGTCAGAATTGCCTGGTACATTATTTTAGTTGGCTTTCCATCCATTGGAAATTGATTTCAAACTGAAATTCAGGATGTTAAGTGACAGCATAAAACTGAGACTTCACTGCTTTTCTAGAAGCAAAAAGGTCATCTTCTCTGTCATCTCACTGTCATTTGAACTAACAGAGTAGGTAATAGTTATAGGAAGCTGCCTTTGTAAGGAGACGTTTGGAAGGGTATGGGAGAGATGAATAGAATACTTCGATGGGTTTCACAGATATCTTGTGGCACATAAAGGAAGCCTAAAAAGTCCCATTTCGAATTGTCATGGTTTAACCTCAGCCAGCAATTAAGCACCACACAGCCGCTTGCTCACTCCCCCCTGCTGTGATAGAGGAGAGAATCAGAAGAGTAAAAGTGAGAAAACTCATGGGTTGAGATAAAGACAGTTTAATAGGTAAAGCAAAAGCCGTGCATGCAAGCAAAGCAAAATAAGGAATTCATTCGCTACTTCCCATGGGCAGGCAGGTGTTCAGCCATCCCCAGGAAAGCAGGGCTCCATCATGCATAATGGTTACTTGGGAAGACAAACGCCATCACTCCGAACGCCCCCCCCTTCCTTCTGCTTCCCCCAGCTTTATATACTAAGCATGATGTCATATGGTATGGAACAGCCCTTTGGCCAGTCTGGGTCAGCTGTCCTGGCTGTGCCCCCTCCCAGCTTCTTGTGCACTTGGCAGAGCATGGGAAGCTGAAAAGTCCTTGACTAGTATAAACGCTACTTAGCAACAACTAAAACATCAGTGTGTTCTCAACATTGTTCTAATCCTAAATCCAAAACACAGCACTATAGCAGCTACCAGGAAGAAAATCAACTCTATCCCAGCTGAAACCAGGACACCAATTCTGGAGAACTGTTAAAGATGCAACTGTGTTCCAGTCCTGTTTTGTTTTGTCCTGGTTACCTAAACTGGTTCCTGTTCTGTTTGCTGAAGTACTGTCCTCTAGGCTTTTCATCCAAGTTTCCATTTTTCTGTTCAGCTGTTTTTTTTCCCCGTGTGGCCAAATCTACTATTGGTGCAGTTAGCACCCTGGGGGTTTTTTCTGTCTCATGGTCTATTTTCTTTCTTTCTTTTTCTTAGATGAGCTTTGCATGTTCCTCTATGTTAACCTGAATCCCAGAACTGGGAGGTAAAGGAGATGGGACACAGAGTGCCTGGATTCAAGGATTAGTGTGTCCTTTTGAATGCCTTTAGGCCAATGTATACACTTGTTTGTGCTATGTAAGCATACTTGTGCAGTATTAAACAGTGATATTGAGAGGCTGAGCCTTGCTCTGGGATAGTAGTGTCTTTTACATTTTATCAGATTTGTAACGATAATGATACGTAATGATACTTTCTCTAAAGCAATTGGATATACTTTTTGGTCTACTGCAAAGGCATATGTGTAGCTGACCATATAAAATTTTGCAAAACTTTGCTGTTAAGTTAAAAATGTATGCAAAGCTTTCTCTTCTCTTTTCTTTTTATTTAGTTTGTGTCTGAATCTTTTGTAAAAGTGCTGAAGTTTTTGTTGTGCCAGGTTGATAATGGTGATCCACTGTTCAGGATTTTTATGGCATAACTGGAAATTGCTATGGAAGAGCTCTCACTCCAATATTAATTACACTTAAGTTTTATTAGCTAGAGAGTTATTTATGTTGTTGTCTTTTGATCTCTTATAAAATGTGAAACTGGTTTTATCATGTGTCTTGGTAAGCTGTTTGTATATGTCTTCTAAGACAGTTGAGGTTTTTTTTACTTTTAAGATTTATAAAGCTTAGGAAACTGTCAGTACAATTTTACAGTTGACTTAAACTCATTCAAGATCATGCTGAAGCTGTAAGATTATGTGAGTGGAAAGAGACAAAAGTTAAAACTGCTGCTTTTGATGGCAGTTGTCTTGTGAAAGCTCTGTGTAAGTTAAAAGTCTAAATTTAGTGTGACTACAATTTTGAATATCCTTAAGTTGATAGTACTCAAAAATACAGGAACTTTGTACGGAATTACTCTTCAGTGCAATTAGATTGTAACAGGTACATAACCTTACATTATTATGACTATACTTGTTGCTACTGTGACGGGTTTTACCTAGGTATAGATTTCAGAAACAGAATTAATTTTTGAATGCTTCTTCATATTGTATGTGTGTTTTCTGTTTTTATTTCTTGAATTAGTATCTGAAGTCCATATATCTCCTGACGTTCTTCTGGAGCACTCCGTGCCTTCTTCCTGCCTGGTTCCTTCTGACTCATTCACTTTATCAAGTGATAATGTGGCAACAGCTATTCAAACAGCCAACAATGTTATAAACCCAGCTGTTCTTGAAGAACAGGTAAAACCACAATTTTTGTGTTTCAGTATGGGAACTTGATGTATTAAATATCTTAGCTTTGTATCTTTTCTATGCAAATTTAGATTGAATTGCCTTTTAAGAGCAAAAGGTGGTCCTTGAATTTCTGTCATACAGGCTTTGAAGTAAAATAATTTTAAAATTATGTTTAAATCCTATAACTGGGGGACACCATACTACTTTGGTATGGACTGCAAGAGAGGTATGTGTGTTAAAGAGTTATTAAAAGTTAAAGGCATGCTGATAGTGCTAGGCATGAAAGTAGGAAACAATAGCAGGAAGGTTTTCTTAAAATAAAGGTGTTACTGTTAAAGCTGTAAAGATTATGGCTGTACATATATGTCATATATATGTTTTTCTGAAGTGGTTTTAGGATTAGAGAATTAATGTTTAATTTTTACTTAATTATAATAAAATTAATTTCATTTTTTTATTTTATTATATTTTACTTTTTTCCCCTATTACTTTTAAAGTTTTGGTTTTTTTTTTTTGTGATCTGACACAGTCCTAGTTGTGTGATCTTGATCTCTCCTTGTAGCTCCAATACTGGTGAGAACTGATCTTAGCTTCTTTTTGGGGGTTAAAGTGTTTAGTTTTTAACTAAATTAGGTGAGCAAGGGAGGGAAAGAATTTCTGCCTGGGGGTTACCTCAAGAATGCAAGATTGCTGTGGACGAGAATTAAATAGATTTACCCTCCCAAGTGTGTTTTTATTGACATTGATTGCAGTGACACCTATTTGAACAAGTTTATTGATTATAAAGTTCCTTGTTTCAGGATGCATAGTAGTATATACTTGAATTAGAAAATGCTGTTGTCTTTCTCTGAACCAGTCAATATTTTGGGCTAGTTAGAGACCCTCCCATTTCCAGCCCTTACTTGGTTTATTATTCTTCAGGTAGTCTCATCAAGTCTCAGGGCTACTCATGGTGAAAGTTGAATATCACAATTAAGTCAGATTTCCATAATCTAACCATTTAAAAGCATTTCTCTAGAGCTATTTAAACAACTTGTACAAAATACTTGTTTTGATTAAACTGACTCTTAATGTTTTTCCTTTGAACAGCATCTGTATGTTCACACTTCCAGAAAGACTGTGGCTACTACAGCTCTGATAGTTCAGTCTTAGTAATGAATTAGTTACTGTTTTGTATTTGTTCCCAGCCTAGTGTTCTGGGGAAAGCCTATAAAAAGTAAAGAAGAGGTGTGCCCAGATGCAAATATACCTAAGAAATTTTCTTAGAAATCTAAAAGTTGTGGGTTTTTCTCTTGAGACGGGGTTTTTCTTGAGACGGGTTTTTTTTCTTGAGACGTTTGCTTTCTTTTTTGACTGATGTCAGCCAGAGTCATTTTCTGTGTTGAAAGTTCTTCATCTCCCTCTCTGATATTGTTTTGATAGGTAAATTTGTATTACTGGCAGGATGATCAAAATATGCGTTTCTTCAGCCACAACAGATCCTACCCTTTTTGATTTTGGCTAATGGTGAAACGTGAATAACCTATATCCTTTCTTGTTTGAGCTAGGCCAGAAACTTTAGCTTGTGTGCTCTCTGGAGAGAGCACTTTGGATATCCCAGAATACTAAGGCTTAGGTGTATTTTTTAAAATGAAAAAGTCATTTGGTTAGGTAATCTTACTAAAAATAAGAAATAGACTTTGTTACTTCTGAATAATTATGTGTGCAAATTCTAGTTGTGAGCCATGTTTTGGTCTTTCTTATCCTGTTCTGGTCAGCTACTGACAGACCCATGGTTCCATAAACTCTCTTTTTAATGCAGGAAATAATACAAATTAAAGAATACAACATTAGCAAGTGTTACTAAAGGGAGAAGGTATGTTGAGAGGAGGTCCTTTAACATTGTTTTGAAATGAAGATCAGACTTCACACTTTTGGATAAAGCTAAAGGAAAATGGTGGGCATAAAACTATAATAAAATATTCTTACACCTGTTAGAGGAGGATGCTAGGATAACTGTATTCTTCTGTAATTGTGTTTCCAGAGCCTCTTGACATTTAATGTTAAAAAAAAACTTCAACTTTTCAGGTTCCAGCATCACAATTTTTTGGCAGTGCCAGATTCTAATCTTGACTAGTACTCAGAAGTAGAATTAGCATATCTAGGTTATCTTTGCTTCTTACAGAAGGGGAATTCAGAGCACAAACTGCAGTTTTCTTTCTGGCTGTTTTATCTACTGGATCTTATGTATCCACGTACAGTCCAGATCTCAGCTATTTTTGTTTGTTTCTTTCTTTGAATCCTTCAAGAGATACTTATTTATTCAAAAATCAATCTATTATTTGAGTGTCTGTTTGGAATAAAAGGTGTTAAGGGAATGACTTCAATCAGATCAGTCAAACCTCTCTTAATAAACATATCAAGATGTTCCTTTCTCCACCCCACCTCACATCTCAAGTGCTCTTGGCTTTCAAATTGTTGTTGAAAATATGGCATCTGAAATTAATTTACCAGCTTTTTCCTTTGAAGTTCCTTTGCTGGTATATAAACAAGTTTTTGCCTTTTTTTTTTTTTTAAAGAAGGGGAAAAAAAACCTTTGGCTTCTGTTAATTATACCACAAAATATTTTAAACCTCACCTAATTTATTTTTGTGCTTTTTTGAGAATATAGGCTTATTATCAGTGTTTCATCTGTTTTGGGTTGTATATTCTAGAAGCCTCCGTTTCAGTTTTTGTACTTCTACAGTTCACTGAAATAGCATTAAATAAATGTTGTAGACATGTCCCAATTACTCTTATTCTGTTGGTCTAGCCTCAGGATGAGATATTTATTTTAGCACAAAAAATTTGTATTCCCTTTCTGTGGCTACTGTTTGCAGTTTGCATTGGGTGAAAACATGGAGTGACTAACCCAAGGAGAGTTTATTTCCCTATAAGCCTGATGCTTTGAGACAGATCATTCAGTTTCACTTCTGTCTCTTTTCACGTCTTTTGAGTATTTTGACCTCATTGGAAACTGAGGTATCTGTGCCATCCTCCTTCTTAAAGCCTTCTCCTAAAGTATTCTTGAAAAGCAGTCAAGGAGATCGAAAGGATTGATGTGAATCCATCTAGAATTATTGCTACCGCTCCATTGTTGGAGCTTTCTTTTTGGCCAGCACATCCTACATATGAGAGTGTGCACGGCCAATTTCAGAGAAGTGTGGTTTCAAAAAAGTAACTGTAGTATTTACAGTTCTTAAGTTCTGTAATGTCATCTGGAAATGAAATTTGACTTGAGTGGAATGTTAAATTCCCTTCACCTTTTCCTGTACTGTTTTGTTTCTTGTATGAATTAGACTCAAGCAGATATTCCAGTTGCCTCTTTGAATGTAAGTGAAGACAAGACTTCAGTTACATCAGCCGTTGCTTTGGTTGATGCTGAGACACAGAGAACAAACGAACCAAAGAGCTACCTTCAACAAGCTGCTGCAAACCTAGAAATCAAGCTTTGCACTGCTGAAGAAGAAAAATTAAAAATTAAAAAGGTATGAATAGTTTTTAATGAAAATGTCTAGCATTTATATAGGATTTAAACATAGTTGGAGCTGGCAGAGATATGCAATACATTTTTTGTAGAAATTAGCCAAATTCCAGAGAAATTGGCCAAATTTAGCCAAAATACTTTTTTTTTTTTTTTAATGTCTGCTATCTATTTTAGCCTGAATTTTTCTAAAGTTTCAGGGAAAAGAATATTTTTTTCCTGGAGGAAAAAAAAAAGCAGAAAACAAAAAAAGTTTTCTTAGCATGGAGCCATGTGGTTAGAAGGTATAGTGGTTCCCCAGTGTTTTGGGAGTGAGTGTGTGGTCATTGAAGTTGAAAGTACCTTTGGCTATCTTTATGAACATGACACATAACACTTTTTTCTTTGGGTTTTTTTTGTTTGTTTGTTTTTTGTTTTTTTCTGGGAGCTCTGGTAACTAAATTCTTCATATTCCCTCCGACCTGAATATGATAGATTACCAAGCAGGCCTATGCCTGTAGTTATGTGTCTGAGTTAGCAAAAGGTTACTGAGGTGTGAGAGACTAAGTTTAATTTCTGCTATTCTTAATACTATTTCTTGATAGGTATCAGGGTGTGCTAGGGAAGGAGGACATGGCTTGTTGGAGATGAAAATGAGGATGAGTAACTAGAGCCAAAGATAAGGAGGTCTGGGATGGATTGATTTTGCTAGGAGTTAAGTGTATAGAGGAGGGCTGGAAGGGAAGCATGAATAGAGACTATAAGAGGAGATAGGGTGACAGCTAGGCTCTGAATTGAAGAAGTGTTGCACAATCAGCTTCTCTCTCTACAGTTGAATCAGACACTTTGAATCTCAAGAACTGTTTTTATTATTTCGTTCAAAAGCAGGACTGAACTAAGCAGACCTGCTCTTTGTGTCCTCCTTATGACCCTCTCAGTTGTGCCTCTGTTTGAATAGCTGTACAGTGATCTGGCAGATCATTTGTTTCTATGCTGGCTTCCTGCATGGCTACAGAAATAGTTGTTCCTGAGGAACTGAAAGGGTGCCAACAGCTTATGTATAGTAGGAATGAGCTTGGTAGGACCAACAGCTGCATTAAGAAAAAATAAAAATATTTAGCTTTTTGGATAGCAAATAATTTTGATGTTTGTTGTCAGTAGTGTCATTCTCCTTCCTGTCTATTGGTTCATGTTGGGCAGGCTTCTAGATTGGCTCTCTGCAAGATCACAGAAGATTTTAAAATTTTATTCATTTTGGAGATATAGGTAGAGATCTCAGAGGGCTGTATGTAATGGGATTTCTGCCTTTTTCATGAAACCATTTGCTAAAAGTACATTTAGTATGCTGCTTTTCAAATGCAGAAAGACAGAACAAGCTATTAAAAATATGGAAATAGTTAGAATAGAATAGTTACAGTTGGAAGAGATCTACAACAATTATCTGGTCCAACTGCCTGAGCACTTCAGGGCTGACAAAAAGTTAAAGCAAATCATTAAGGGCATTGTCCAAATGCCTCTTAAACACTGACAGGCTTGGGGCACCAACCACCTCTCTAGGAAGCCTGTTCCAGTGTTTGACCACCCTCTTGGTAAAGAAATGTTTCCTATTGTCAAGTCTGAACCTCCCCTGATGCAGTTTTGAACCATTCCCATGGGTCCTGGCAGTATATCCCACGGATCAGCACCTCCCTCTCCACTTCCCCTCCTCAGGAAGCTGTAGAGAGCCTCCTTTTCTCCAAATTAGACAAACTCAGTGACCTTAGCTGCTTCTCACAGGACATGCCTTCCAGGACATGCCTTTGATTTTAAATACCTTATACTTCTTGAAAATACTGTCTCAATTTAAAGACTGCAATCAAACTTTTCTTGCACAACCCTTTATCTCTGTGTATATTATGATAGCAAATGTCATAGTCTTCAGAAATTAAATTAGTTGGAATGATTAACTGAATCTGCATTTTCACAATTCACAAATGTTTGTAACTTCACGTATTTTATTTTGTAAACCTTATAGGAACTAGAATATTTACTGGAAAAACATAGCGTTCTAGAAATGGATTTCTTGAAGGAAAAAAAAGAAAAAGTAATTTCACATCAAGATCATTACAAGACTGTCCAGGTAATTTCTTGTAGTAACTTACTTTTTTGCAGGAGGGTTTTGTATTGAGTGTATTTATGTCCAACAAATACTCTGTTAAGTATCTACAGACCTGCTCCAAAGCCCTTTGAATTTAAAGAATTTGTAGGGTCTTTATATCAGAGCCTGACTTTTGACATTAGTGGGAATATAGGTTAAATAGCCCACCTGCGTAAGCACATTATTGTAACTCAGATCACTCATCCTTCTTATGATCTATTTCATAGAACAGATGAAAAGAAAAACACTTTGCACAGTAGATGTGTGTTTAACAGTATGACTTGGCATGTTTTAGAGTAGGTATGGCCAATTATTTCTAAAGTATTAGCTGGATTGAATATGGAATAGTTTGTGTTGCATAATAAAAATCTGTAAAGTGCAATTAGATGCTAGACAATGGAATTAAAATTGTTTCCACTGCAAAAATCAACATTATTCGTGAAATATATGTGGAAGTCTCACACACAAGACAAATTTTTCATTGAAGTTTCCAGTCTTCTTCCAGTGTTGTAGCAGGACAAACTGAATATTATAGAGTTAGAAAATTTCAAAAGTTTCTTGTTGGTAATTCAGCTTCACTTAACTTTTTGCTGCTGTGGATGGTTTTTAAGTAGCTACTGCATTGTTTCCCACGTGTACATAATTGTTGCGTTGCTGTAATAATTTGTATTGAATTTCTGGCTGCAGAAATCATCCAATTTTTTTTTTCTTGTTTATGTGTGTAACATCCTACTCAATGAAAGAGGTGTTTGCTTAGCTACGTTATAAAAATAAGTTTTGCTTAAAAACCTTCTGATTTATGGAGTATCATCCTGGCTAAAGTTAATGATCATCATAAACTCTAGACAATAGAATTAATGGATTTAATTTTTTAATACTTTCACGATGCTTTTCAAGCAGAAGTATTTAAGTAGTGGAAATGTTACTGAGGTTTGCAAGTATCAGTCTGTATTATACCTCTGAGTCAGGTATTATAGTTTTCAAGAATGGCAATGAAAGGTTCATAACCTTTAACTTACTTTGTAGAAAAACTCATGTACTTTCTCTTGTTGTCTTCTGGATATAGCCAGAATCAAATCAGAGAAGAAAAGTGAGACATACTTCTAAGAGCTGATGGTTAAAATTATTTTCATGAAACTCAAATATTGGATGCCTTCTGTTAATACAGCTTTTAATGCCAATTCCTTTTGTCTTTCTCCTTTGGCTCCTACAACACTAGGGTCAACACCTGTGGCCACACACTGAGTAAATCTGGCAGCTACACAGTACAGATGTCTGTCTTGCTAGCATTTCTTTTTCCAGTAGAAACAGCTGGTTATTAGTGTTGTTGACTTGAAAAGCTTAAAAGCAGGCTATAGTGGTGACTGGTATAGCTTTGGGAACTCTCAGGATAAGACTTCCAACTGAACTGATTCTGGCATCCTAAGCTGTAGGTGCGCATTGACTTAATTCCTATTAAATTAAATTTCTATGTTAATACTTGACTATAATATGTGAAACAAATGTCTCGTGAGATAGTTCTAACTGCTTTTTACATGAACGTGCATTATTTCATGCACCTTTATATTTACTAATTAACTGACTGCTGGCACTTGTGACAGCAAATTCTCAAGAGGTGGTTTGGAGGTAATAGAGCCAGTCAGTTAGTCAGATCTTTAACAAGGTCAGATCTTTAAATATTTAGATTAGACTCTTCTTTTTTTGTGAAGTTATTGTGCTTAGTTCTGAGAGAAGATTTCATTAATCTTTGTCAACTAAGTCAGTAATTCTTTTTTTTTTTTTTTTCATCTTTTCCTGTTAATTTCTGCCTCAGTCAAGGGTGACAGTTATGTTACCAGTTTTGATGCCACAAAATTGTTTCAATAAAATATGCTTTCAGGTTTTTTGATATAAAACAAATTATTTTGAAAGACAAGGTAGGAACATAAAGCATATTACAGATGTTTTCTGAGTTGGGTTAGCGTGCTGATGAAGTGAATTGTGTTCTGGTCTAGTCACAAATTTTCTTCATCGTAAGTGTGAAAAAAGCCTTATACTTAATTTGGTAATACTGAAAATGGAAGAATTGAAGGGGAGTGATAATCATTGCTCCTAATTGGGGGGGGATGGGGGCAGAATTCCAAGTCTTTGGTATAATATTAGCATTTAACCAATGCATGACAATGGAGTGTTGCCACTTTATGCTTGTGTAAAAGAGAAAAGTAAAAAGTTCTGTTTCGTCTAAATAAAATTATTTTAAAAAAATCAAGATTGAACAGAACGTGTAGTATTCTCACATTCTTAATGTTGTTTCCATATGTTACTACAACAACCAAAGACAGTAAAGGGGCAGCAGTGGCTTCATAAATAGAATAAACAAATTGCTATTAACTAGTATTATAGAGTTGTTTGGATATTTAATGGAATGGCCTCTTTGAGATCTTGAATTCGTACAAGTTGGTACAATTAGAGTTATGATTCCCACATTCCCGCTTTGGTGTTTGTGGTATTTAAGAGGCAGAATCACATACTGTAATTCCAAGTTCTTTGCATAGAAAATGTAGCTGACTTAAAATTGCTGTGGGAAGTGTAATTTTAGTTTTCTTGACTTGTGTGCAGTGTTGCAACAATAAAGTTGCATGAATGCAATTTTAGCCTTATAATTCCTTGCTTATTTAGACAGGAGGGAAACAGGTGCAAATGTGTGTGTGATTTTTTTTTTGTCAGTATGTCAGTCTTATTTTTTCCCTTTTTTTGATCACATAGTCATATATATATTCATCTCAACTTTTAACACCTCAGCTCTTCTCGAAATGTGAGGTGCTGCATATTTTCAAGATACTTAGTGCTAGTAGGTAATACATGTTTTTGACTATAATGCAGAATTAGCGGCCATTTTAATCCTATAAATCTAAAATTTTGCTGCAGCCCCATTGCAATATGTTGTAGAAATGAATAAATGCTGCATTTTAAAACTACCAAACCCCAATTTGTAATATAGTGAAAAACCATCAATAGCAAAATGAATAGTCCTTTTTAGTAGGTGATGTTCTCTTATTTGCAAATCGGAGAGGGAACATTTAATTTGAGAAGGGAAAATAGTGCCTGGGTTCTAGCACTCTGAGTAGGAACTTAATTCTTTGGACAGATTGTTTAGCTGATAAGAATTCTGATGTTTGGTCTATCTACAGACAACTGGTTTTGATGATTCACTAAGAACTGGATCATACTTTTCCTCTGCTATTTCTTTGATTTACCACACAGTCGCGTTTGAAGTAATACTGCATTACTGCTGGAAAGTTCTAGTTGCAGTTATACCCATTTTTTTCCTGTCATCAACCCTTTCTGGAAGTTAAGCAGGCTGGTTTTTTGTTTGGTTTGGTTTTTTTTTTTTTTTTTTTTTTTTTTTTTTTTTTAGAGAACCATATAGTTGATGTGGTGTGATCCTTCTTTTTGAAATAGATTCTTTTTTTGTTTTGGCAATTGACATCTGTTCTTCTAACTTAACAAATCTATAGTTGTTTTGAAAGCACCAAAAATGTTTTCTTTTGGAATCCTTTGTTTCTGTTCCACTTTTTTTTAGGGAATGCCTTTTAAATTTTTATTGAAAAAGTGACTTCAATGTGCTTATTTTATTTAGCAATATTCCTGTTGGTGCAGAAAGTCATGATTAAAAATGAATTAGCTTAATACTATAATTTCATTTTGAATGATATTTTTGTGTGTAAAAAAAGCAAGTCAGATAGACTCCCCGTTTAAATGATGTTTTAGAAAGGTAAGAGAGGAAGCTTATAGAAGAAAACATTGACAGATCAGTACACAATGATCCAAGGAAGCTTCACTAGGTCTTGCAGTAACACCTAGCTGGGATTAAATGGCATGGTAACTTAAGTACAATCATTGCTGGTATTAGGTGTTGTTTCATTTATTTATTTCTGTAACTGTTGATGTTTCAGGAATTTTTTCATTTGAGTAGCTGTGCAAATGTCGCATTAAATTACAAAGCTTCAAATTATGAGGAAAAGACTTTACGTGCAGTTAAGTAAAGATGGGAAAAGGTAAACTTGAGATTTCGGTCTAGTTTCTTCCCTCCTAATTCTGAGGGATGAGTTTATTTTTACCCTGGTTAATATTGCTTGTTAGTTTTGGGTTTTTTAATATATTGGATGCATATACCACACACATTCATATAAAATAGAATGCATACTTCATTGCGTCTGTCTCCTTGTTTTTGGAGATGATGCTTCACAAATTTAAAATACCTTGTCAGGTATATACGAATTAAAACTTTACATTAATGCTAGATTCATCATACAATTTTGTCTTTAATTTAAAGTAGAATTGTACAAACAGTGATTTTTATGTACTTATAATTTAGGACTGAACATAATATGAATCTCAAAAATTGCACCTAATACATGTAAAAATTTGCTTGTATTCAGAAGATGTTGAAAAAGGAATGTTAAGTAATGTGGCTTAATGCCTGATTTTGTGTATGGATCCTTTTGATTTTTTTCCTCTTTCTTTTAGTATTTAAAATGATGTTGCCCCATCACCACGCTGCATGGAGTTTCTTGCTTTCAGAATTGAATTAAGCCTCATAATATTTCATAATGTATCTTAAAATCTTTGATTTTATATTCAAACAATGTCATAGTGATCTCAATGAAATAAATGACTAAGTAAATACTAGCTCTAGTGGTTACATGCTAAACTTTCTATAATGAAAAGAATTTCTCTTGGAGAGTTGACATTACATTTTTGCAATTCCAAGAACAAGAAACAAGATAATGAATTCTGTCTTGATGATGGCAAAATTCAGTTTTGCAATGATGACAAAAGATGTTCCAGAAGTAAGTAGGGATGTTGGTTGCTGAGAAGGGTAAAGCAGCTTTGGAGAGCTGTAGTTTTGAGGGCTGAAAGTTCAGTGGTGTTCCAAGAAGGGGAGGAGGACAGCAGTTAAAAGTGAATAGAAGGTATTAATACGGATTGAGGAGTGGGAA